AGAAAACTTTTCAGGAAATTACTGTTTTGCACTGCTATCATACCTATCTTGCACAGACAAACCAGTGGTCCTGCTCAGGTTCCCTCTCACCGTGTAAGTTGTACTCTCTCTATATATATACAATGAAGCACTAACATGATTAGAAGTTTTGCACTAAAACACCTCTTAGTAGCATGTGCTTCTAGGACTGAGAGAATGCAGTTGAAGGAAGTCAGACAGATATGCCTAGAGACTATAGTCTGTAACTGTGAAGAAGCCTCCCTAGAAGAAAGTCAGGAACGATTGGAGCTATTTTTAAGGACAACTGTATTTGGCTAGAACTGCTTGAATGTTTTGGCTGTTATGGTAAAAGATATGGAGATCTTCAGGGAAGTAGTCCATAAGTGTAAGGAATTCTCCTTCTGCTTGGATAGTCCTTATTGGTCTGTGCTCAAAATAGTTACTCTTTTGCTAACTACCTTGCTTCTAATCCAGAACAGCTCTACCATGTCATACCTGACAAACTGTGTGGGCAGTGATGGACAGTGGTTCGAGAAAATAGAAGGTAACTGATTAGGCACAAAGGAAATTATCAGGCACAAATCATTACTTAAAACTGACGGTACAAGAGACTTTACTCAGCTTTTTTCTCCCTCTGATATCTTCTTGCAATTGCTACAGACCAAAGAACAAGGGTTGATGAAATCAAAGACCCCACAGCAATCTATCTGGGAGCAGCATTTTTCTCTCAGAATAGGAGACACCATGAATCTTAAGTCCCCAAACCCAGAGGTAGTACTGTTCCAGACCTTACTTTCATAGAGTTCCCAGACAGCTGTGAAACAAAAAAGACAAATTAACAAAAGACCATGAGAGGTTTTATAGCCAGTCAGTAGATTAGAACATTTCTGCATCTGGCATATGCTAGCACTTTCTCCTAACACGTTTTCCATACCTTCTAGAGGCTTAAACACTGAATCCACTGTCTGACTCAGTATCAGAATTACTCAGATCTCCTTTTATCCAAACAACATAAATACTAAAACACTAGTCAGACAATAACACATAGTGAAGCTGGCAGCCTAAACCACAATTTCCTTTACAAAACAACATGAATGTATTATATATGCTGTGTCCACAGGTTGCTTTGTAGCTGGTTCATATACTTACACTAATCATGCATCTGGCATGTGCATCCATTCACAAACTGTCCTTGCTATTGTTTGAAACATTTCTAGGCTGTGAGTTTCCTTGAAGTTACATCAGTTAAACATCCTGTTTTGGTTAGTTCTTGTCCCTAATTATGTATGTCAACATCAGTACCAACATTCTCAGCGTGTAACTCACACTCAGCTCCTGTATAATCTTTGGTTTTGAAATTCTCTTCTGCCAACAAACATACTTGAAGTCAGTCCTAAGCCCATAATTCAAGCACTCTTTGGTCATATATAGGATTTCTAGGCTGTCAGGGTTTCCAGCCTACTAGATCTAATAGGTGGTTGGATACTCCTCGTAAATAAAGGATGTCCTTAAAAGTAAATCTGTACAAAGGACAAAAAAGAACATACATCTGGGAAAGTCTGGATGTACAATCACCGTACAGAAGACCATGAATAAGGTAGGTTAAGAATATACACTGCAGTGACTCCCTGCTCAATTTCATTACATATCCAAACTGCAGTCCCTACTAGAAGTTTATTCATAACCTTCCCTATGATTTACTTATGATTTGTCAGTTTCAGTTAACTTAGTAATTTAGCTTAGCTTGGAAATGCAGCAAGGAAAATATCACCTGGTTTTCACATAATGGGAAACTCATACTTCTTGGTAACTGTGATAAATTTCTTTCAAAAATTAATGGATGAATCTTTAAAGTACTCAAAAAATGTTTTCAAGGAACATTGATATTCAATTTCCAGTCTGATGTCAATTCACACCCTAGTTTACTGGGTAGTAACATTCTCATATGGTTACCAGACTGCAGTGGACACAAAATATTAATCAGTTATAGTAAGTCAGTTTCCTCTCTGCTGCTTTGTTATTTTTCAAATAAGTGGAGGCAACCAGAGAAACTATATGGCATATTTCTTTGCACATCTGGAAACACTGCTCAGAGGTCTCCTGTCACTTTAAGGTGACTGCTGCAGCCACAGAACAATTGGAAGAACTGAAAGCTGCACAATTGGAAGAACTTCCTCCTGTAAAAGTCAGTGCTGTGCAGCCCTGTTCCACCATTTTGGTTAGCAAGGTAAACTTTTGAGATTCCTTAATGTCCAAAACTGCTTTTGTTTTTATTCTTATCTAACCCAGTGTGTGTGTGTGTGTGAAGGAATCTGTACAATTCTGTTGTAGAAGTCAAGCTCAGCTACATTTATAATGTTTTTTTCACTGTAGCATTTTTCTTACCCTTTTCAGGCCTACTAGAAGAATGGGTTAGTCTATTACTAAATGAAATTTAAGTTTTACCTTAAAGAATGGAAAACAGAACCAGAGGCTGCAAGTTCCTTCTCTGAATGACTCATGATTGCACTTCTGTTTTAAAAATTGTGTCTTTACAAGCATAGATAAGAGTACATTCCCATTCTAACACAGTTTACAATCGAGGCAAAAAGTCTACAATAAGGGAGGATCAAAATCCATTCCTCTCAGGAGGACAACATCAAACTTACAGAACAGGCTAGGGATAAAAAGCATGGTAGATTTCCACATCCGAGACTTTGAATTGGTGCTGGACTTGGTTTTTTTTAAAGATCATGAAGCACACTGATGCCTTTTTTCATTGTGCTCATGCTGGAAACTAATAATTAGAGTCCCAGATCTGCAGTTTCAACATTTTGCTGTGTTCAGTGGAAAACCCACTGAAATCAGCTGGTCTCTGAAGACAACTAGAACACTGCAGCCTGCAGTCAAATACCCTTCAATCCTATGGTGCTTTGCTTATCCTCTACTTCTTCCCTTTGACTTAGAACCAGTCCCCAAATGCAATATAAAACTGGGTTACATCACAGCACTTTGAACGTAATAGTGTCTAAAAATGCCAGTGCAAGCTCAGATTCTTTGTGGTTATTGAAGACACTACAGGCAGGTTTCTTTAGAAAATGAGTGAGGCAACACAAACAGTTGAGTCAGTACAGCTGAGGAGACAATCACGCCAGGCAAAGGGAAGGCGTATGTAACAGGCAATTTCAAGCCTCTGACACCACTTGAACAGCAAAGGTTAACAACTGCCTCTGAAAAAGCCAGAAAAAAAGCACTGACATTTGCACATATGTCACAGATGCAGGGGGCAGGAGCGTAGATGTGCATGCATTATGTCCTGTGAGCTTCTTCAATATCATATAATAAAGAATTGCTTTTACTTACAGCACAAGGTTAAATAACATTCTGCTATGGATAGACTGCATCAAACACTTTCCATCAAGCATTTGTGCTCCAGTTGTGCAAATGGATACAGCAAATGACAAAACCCCTTCAGGAGCAACTCATAGTCCAAACAGGCCTGGCAAAGCCTGACTCTTCCCCTTAGCCTGCTGGTTTTTCCCCTCTCTTACCAGTGTGCCATCCTTTTTTTTTTTTTTTTTGTGAATGGGGATAAGATTAGACCAGCTCCCTGAACCTGCTGAGTGTGTCAGATCACATAAATCTGACTTTGTGACCAGGGAGCAGCTGTGCGGTCATCTGGCAACCATGACTCACCTCCTCATAAACTGCTGCGCAGCCCAGCCCTCCAATGGTTCTTGAGGTAGGTGAGGCACCTGCACCTTCTGGGGAGCCTTCCAGACAGTGGAAAGAGCTGCTCCTACTGAACCCTACTAAAGAAGAGGGTGTTTGCTTCTTATTAATTCCATTGCAAGATGTTTGTGTTCTTTGCAAACAGAGGTAACATTCATTATGGAGACACTTTTTTTTTTTTTTGCAAATTTACTTTATTAAAAATTATGAGTCTGCATCACAACTTGGAGCATGTGACTACAGAGGTAATATTCCACTCAAGGAGAATCTCCGAGGGACAATGGCTGACTAGCTCCTCAGTTACTCTGCAGCAGCAGAATGCAGGAGCCATTGCTGTGGGCGTAACTGGTCCATCAGCTGAATCAACAGCAATGACACTTCAGTGTTCATATTAATTATTCAATTAGAGGTGGTTTGAAGTCTTCCCCACACTGACTTCCAGCCTTATACTTGATTTGCGTTATGAACACTTCACAACAAATTCCTAAAAATCGCACAATTTCAAAGACTGGCCAAAACACATGGTCTGTTTAGTTAAAGCTCGATACACTTCACTGCAACTTGGACTCCTCCTTATTCACAATATTGCTTATAATGCAATCCGCAGAAAACATGTGAAAAAGTGATTTCTTCTGAGACTGAAATTGTTTTGTAGCAGTACAAGAGATGCAGAGTTTTTCCTTTCTAAAAGTGTACTCTGCATCACACCCTTTTCCTACAGAAATTAAGCTGGCCCAGCCATACTCCCTCATTATTCTGCAAGGGGGTTCCACATGCAGGACCATGCAGTGCTGGATGACAGAGAATTATGGAATCACAGAATATGTTGAGTTGGAAGAGACCCACAAGAATCGAGTCCAAGTCCTGGCCCTGCACAGGACATCCCAAGAGTCACACTATGTGCCTAAGAGCGTTGTCCAAACACTTCTTGAACTCAGGCTTTGTGCTCCATTTCCTCTCGAGAGGATGTTGAAGACTCAAACGAGGTCTCCCCTCAGCTTCCTCTTCTCCAGGCTGAACAGACCAAGTGACCTCAGTTTCCCCCTCCAGACCCTTGACCACGGCCTCCATGGACGCTCTCCAACAGCTTAATGTCTTTTTTATATGAGAAAACCCGTCAGAGGAGCGCTGAGGGTCATTCCTCTCCTACGAGCGGCCGCAGACCCGCCGCGGTCCTCCACGAGGGGCGACCGCCCGGGCGGCGCCGCGGGCGGGCTCTGAGGCGGCCGAGCCCGCCCTGACCGACCCCGTGATGCCGGAGGCGGAGCCGGGTTGCCCAGGGAGCGGGACTTGGCGGGCTGAGAGGGCTGTCCCGCGCTATGGGCAAAGCTATGGGGCTGGTAGGGCTGCTGCTGGGGCTCGTCCTGGTGCCCGCCGTGCTGGTGAGCACCAGCCTCCGCCACGGCGCCCTGCGGACCGAGGCCGGGCCGGGGCTGGGGCCGTCGCCGGCCGACTGGGAGCTGGCGGCGGGCGCTGTCCCCGAGGACTCGCTGTGGCCGCTGCCGCAGTGGCTCCGCACGTCGTCCCGCCAGCTGCAGCTGGCGCCCGGCCGCTTCCAGCTGGTGCACGGCGCCGGCTCCTCGGCGGGGGCGGGCTGCGGGCTGCTGCAGGACGCCTTCCGCAGGTGAGCGGCGGCGGGGACTCGGGCCGGGGGGCAGCGGCGGCGGCCCGGGGCGGGAGCAGCCGCCTCAGAGCCCCCAGCGGCGCCTGTGCTTCCCCGGCAGGTACTACGAGTACATGTTCGGGCACTCCCGGCGGCGGAGGTGGAGCCGAAGGCCGCTGTCTGCCCGAGCGGAGTCGGAGCTGTCTGAGCTGCAGGTGGTGATCGAGGCGCCGGACCCCGGCTGTGACAGCTACCCGCACCTTGGCTCCAGCGAGGCCTGTGAGTACCCGGCCGGCCGCCCACCGCGCTCCTCCTTCCAGGGCCCAGGCGACACCGTTAAGCGCTCGTTTTCCCATCACGTGTCCAGTGTAAAAGTCAGCAGGGTTTTGTTTTTAGGGAACTGGAAAGCATGGGCTCACTGTGACGCTCAAGAACGTTTTAAAACAGTGGTGATCAGAAGATAATTCTTGCTCTTGTTGCTGTGGGAAATCTTGGCTCACAGGGAGTCATGAAGCTCGTGACACGTGTCGCCTGTGATTTCTGCAGTTTAGCTACCGTACAGGTCCTTTAGCTGTTACTGTCCTTTCTAGCAAGCAGCATTAGGAATCAGAGCTACTATGCTATGCAATATCCAGTTATGTTTGGTGAGATCTATGTGTAGTCAAGAGATCATCCCTTTCAGTACAGGGTGTTGAGTGAAGGCTGTCTTTGTTTACCCATGCTCTCCTGAGAAATTGCTACGTTTGAATTGAAGCTACTTACAGTGAGATATGCACATGGTATTTCCTGTTTTTCCAAGAAAAACAGAAAGTGTTCGTTGAACTTGTTATTCATTCAAAAAGCTGCTGTTCATTCATTTTTGAAGTAAGAACAGTGTTAGAGGAGTGGGATGAGGAAGTGCTTTATTAATCACCCTGACATGTGCCTTCATTTTCCACTTATAAAACCACATAATGGGATTTTCAACTAGTTCTTTAGATAGGAAAGAGATTACAAGTGTGGTGTACTCTGAATACCAAGCTTGCCACTGGTGAAGGAGCATTTTAACCCTGCTTAAAATCTGTAGGTGCTACAGAGGCAAAAATCCTAACAGTAAAAATGGAACAACACAGACTACATGAAAGTCTTGCAGTGTTATAAATCTACTTTCTATCAGTAGGTACCAGAAAGGATTTAAAAACATGGTCTTTATATTGGTATTGTTCTGTGTTTCTTTAGTTCTATGGTTGAAGTCCAGACTGGAGAAGTACTTTAAATAAAGAACTAATTACCAGAGAATTTTCTTAACAGAAATAAGGATGAGTGATAGGATTGTTTTTTGTCTGGGCAGGCTAGCACAGGAATCAGCGTATTCAATTCATCTGGTTCTGTTTTGAGATAATCTTCTGTACTAGACAAGGCAGTTGTTTGGTATCCAGGATACAGATCCTTAGAAAAAGATCCTTCTAATCTTAAGTCATACATCTGCAGCAGGATTAATTCCACTTGACTTGTAATAGAATGTACTGATATTAAATGTACTCTGGTTTTGGCACATATAGCTAAATAGTTCAGTTTTTGTGTGCAAGCTTATAATATATTTCAATGCAAATAAAATATACTAGCAAAAATGCTAATACTTTAGCATTTTTCTACCACAGTCAGGTTATTGTGCTGCCATACTACTAATTTGAACTTTGAACTGGTTTGTGAACTTCAGATTTTTACCAAAGCTGGTTCCTCTCTTCTGTCACACAGTCTGTCAGGTCATGTGATTTTTAGGTTGTATTCTGTAGAACAGGCAGAGTTTTTTCCCTCTGCTATAAGAAATGAGTTTCCTGTTACAAATTACATATTTTCCTCATGTAGTAAGGAATGATACCTGTTCAGAAAAAAAACCCCACCTACTGTCTTGGAAATAAATCCTTGACAAGTGATCACAGTTTACCACAGAAAGACTTGCAGTAGTCTTCTAAGTTCTCTTTCTTACCCAAACCTTGCAGTAAGTGCAGTCTGTACTTACTTAACATGGAAGCCTGAGGTACTTTCTTTGTGTTGCTAAATGGCTTTTTCCTGCTAGTTTAGGTAAATGTTTGAACTGTGTATTTTATAACAAACCATTCTTTGATACACATAAAGACCAAATAAATCTTTGTAAGGCAATTCATCCCTTTGATTTTTTTCTCTGCTGTGTCAGATGTGCAATCCTAGTCAGTTTATTATTGCTTTGCTGTTTAAATAATAGTATACATCTATTGATTTGTAGATATAGTGTATTTTTATACATATGTACATGATTTTAAATATATTAAAAATATATTTGTTTCTTCACTAAATTTTATTGAATCACCTTAAATGCAAAACCAAAATTATTTTACCTTTTTTTTCCACCAGTACTTTGTACTTCATTACTCAAAGTCAAGGGACAATTGTTATGGAGTCCTTCAGATACCATTCTTGATTTTATTTACCTTACTTCATCTCCCTGCCCATTAAATGTGGGGTCAGTAGGGTGACCTGGCATCCTATTTGTGCATCAGGCACAGCATCACCAGCCAGTCACTCTACTCTCTGTGGTGCAGCCTCATCTTGAATATCGTGTGTGGCTTTGGGTGCCATAATATAAGAAAGATATAAAGCTATTAGAGACTGTCCAGAGGAGGGCTACAAAGATGGGGAAGGGCCTTGAGGGGAAGATGTATGAGAAGCAGCAGATGTCACTTGGTCTGTTCATCGTGGAGAAGAGGAGACTGTGGGAAGGCCTCATCATTGTCTACAGCTTCCTTGGGAGGCAAAGAGGAGAGGCAGGCACTGGTCTTTCCTCTATGATGACCAGTGACAGGATCCAGTGGAATGGCTTGAAGCTGTGTCAGGGGAGGTTCAGGTTGGATATTAGGAAAAGGTTTTTCACTCAGGTGAACAGGCTCCCCATGTAAGAGGTCACAGCACCAAGCCTGACAGAGTTCAAGAAGCATTTGGACAGTGCTTTCAGGCACGTGGTGTGATTCTTGGGGTGTCCTGTGCAGGGCCAGGAGCTGGACTCGATGATCCTTGTGGGTCCCTTCCAATTCAGAATATTCTATGATTCTGTGGTCTGATTATTAGCTTTTTTTCCTTTGTCGTTATACCTTTACAGTTAGCACCTGGCAATATTATATGACAAATCATATCTCTAATAAAAATATGTAAGCGTAATCTATATGAAAGGAAGGTGGAAGGAGAAATGAACTTTCTGTGGTTAGGTCTGGCATAGTTACTCAACCCTTATCACCATGCCTTAAAAGTGGAAATATAATCTCTTATGTTTTAAATCAATTGAGTTAAGCTTGGCTGGAATTTTGGCCCATGTACAATATTTTAACATTGCCATTATTAAGCACCTCACTTGTTTTGTCGTCTTATTTATTAACTGTTAACTTTCTGAACAGTAGCTTGCATTATGTCAGAAAAACATAAATGAAAAATAATTGCATGCTGTCACCATTAAAACCAGGATTCGTCGATATTTAAAAAACAAAGGGAGACATGGCATTGAAGTATCTCTAGTACCTGTTAGTACTGGCCTGTCAACTCATGGTTTCTTGAGAATAACTTTTTTCTTTTCTTTTCTTTAGATCATTTAACTGTAACTGAGCCTGTAGCTATACTGAAAGCTTATGAGGTATGGGGTGCTTTAAGAGGTAAGCTGCTACTTTTCATATAGAGCTATTTGCTTACGGCTTACACAAACTTCATGGCAGACTAAGAACCAGCTGATCACTGAGCTGTGCCCTCATTCGGTATGTCACTGGAAGTAAGCTTGGTCAGGCCAGAAGGATACTCAGATGTTGTTGGTTAGACCCTCCATCCAGATGCTCAGCATCTCAGATCTAGTGGTGCACCCTAAGTGCACTCTTGCTTGCCTGAAATCAGCCATCCAAGCAAACCCTGGGTGCTAAAAAGCTCTCTGATCTATAGTGTGAACAGAGAATTCTCTGACTGCACCTAATAACTGGACATGTTTGAACATTACCAGGAAGATCAAAATGCTTAAGTTTCACTCTGCTTTTCTTACTGCAATGTTACATCAACAGATTTTACTCTCAATAACTTTCTTACTGTTCAAGGATTAATTTGCTGCAGCTGAGCTGTAGTGATACTATTCAGTGTCTGTGTGTAATGCAGAATTTGAATGGTTCTCTCTTCAGAATATTTAAAACAGTGCTGCTTGAGCAATTAAGGAAAGCATGCTAAAAAGAAGGAAACTCGGCTACAAAGCATTCTTTCTAGGTGTGTGAATGCCTGTAAATAGTTGTGGCCCTGTTTTTAACTAAAACTTTAAGGGCAAGTACTAGGTTGTATTCCACATCCTTTTCTTGGATATTTTTCCAGGTCTGGAAACCTTCAGCCAGTTGGTTCATGAAGATGACTATGGAAGTGTAAGTATTAACTAAAACCACTGTCCTGATAATAGACAAACAAATTCTTTACTGGATGCTTTTCTAGAAACAGCAGATTTACCTGTTTCATTCAGTAACTTTTCAGTTTGTTAACAGATTTCCAAGAAACATTTTCTGAAAAAAAAGGTATTTCCTGTTGAAATGATGAATATTAAATGGGAATTCTAATTTTTAAATTTTGTTCTCATAGTTTCTTGTCAATGAATCTGAAATCAATGACTTCCCAAGATTTGCTCATAGAGGAATCTTACTAGACACTTCAAGGCATTATTTACCATTGAAATCTATTCTTACAAACCTGGTGAGTGGGCATTTTTGTATCATTATAATGAAGGCTCTTTGTTGTTGTGTTTTGTGCCCTGAAGCAGGTAGCAATTGGAGCTGGTATGAAAGAAAAACCCACCTCCTCTGACTGACTTCTAACAGGACAGAGTGAACTTTATTAAGCAAAGATCAGAACAGACTGGAGAGGACTCAAGTAGGCAGACAATGATCAGTGAATCTGTAAAGGGGACTGGGATTTGTGGCACCTTGGATTCTCTGTATTTTTTGTTGTCTAAAGCAGCTCATGTATTATTTCTTGGAAGCATGTTCTGACACATCTGACTGTCACCAAGCAATACGTCGGAGACCCTGCAAGTTCTAGCTTGTGATTTCAGGAAAATTCCTGTGTTTTCAGTAGCCAGGCGTTACAGTCCTTTTCTTAGGCTCCTAAGAGCAAGCCAGTGCTTAAGTATTACAGAGCAAGAGGGAAAATTGGAAATGTTCACTGGAAGCTCCTGAAAAAAACCAGACAAACAAAACAAACAACCAAAAACAAAACACAAGACAAAACTTTCTTCAAAAACTTATGTAAGCACACAAAGAGTTTTATACTCCTACCTTGATAGAAAGGTAGGGAATTTTTATAAGCATAGTGACCAAAGCTGTTGTTTTCTGACTTGCACTCCCCTGTTTTGTTGTTGAAATCCTTGTAGAAGGGATTATTAGTGAGTTGAAGTGGAGGAACAGGCATTTTCCTGTTATGTCTGTCTTGCTTCTCCAAAATGAAATAGGACTTGAAATTTCCCCTCCGTGTTGCAGAACTTTGCAAAACAGGTTTAAGATGGGCAGGAAGAATGCAGGTAAAACCAGTCTTCATTTCTGAGGTCATCCTTGAACTATGCTCAGAACTTGTCCAAGTTTTACTACTTGTTTTACCTTTAAGGTCAGTGCCTGTTCAACAAGTAGTGCTTGTGTGTAGTGTTTCATTTGCAATGGAGGGTGCTTCTCAAATAGATAACTTGTGCTGTTGTTTGTTGTCTTGTCTAAAAGAGATATCAAAAGAGACTTGCATTTCTACCAGTTTTATGTTTCTGTAACTGTTCTGTTTTCTTTCCTTAAATTGTGTCTGTCTCTCTCTCTAATACTTTATTAGAGCTATCTTTTATGCCATTTTGCTGGTTTAAGAATAAGTGTACTTCTCCTCCCACCTCCTTGCCTACTTGAATCCAGGGTAATAAAAAGCATCAATAATTTCTTCACTGACATGTGGTAATCAGATGCTTAGGGCAGCAGTTCAGGTACCTCTCTTGTTCATGTTCAGCTGCTGTACTGTATTTCCAGGAAGGGCACTGTCCTTGAGAGAAGAGTGGTTGAGGTGAAAGTCAAGAGATGTAATTTTCTATGTGGAAGGATGGTATTCGAAGATATGGCAATTAAAACTTGTGCAGTGTAATGAAACAGATGAGATAATTTTGGGGAATGGACAAGGTATAAATATCCTTTTGGATTTGGTGGGAGTTCCTGAAGAGATTTTATCACTTCTTTAAACACAGATGGTGAAAAAAAATAATTGTATTGTGGAAAGGGATTAGAAACAGCTGTCTTGCAATCAGTTAAGAACAATGTAGAGAACACTTACATGGCCTGCTCACAGAACATGCTTCTAGGGACTATCAAGCTAGCATAACTCAGGGTATGTATGTAACTGTCCAACTGGAGTCGTAATTGTAAAATAAGTGTGTTAACATTGATTTTATCTTCAATTTCAAAAAAAAGGGAAGTACCGACTGTAATGACTGAAAACATAAGAGAAGCACTGTCTTTTGTGGGGAAAAAGCATGGTTTATTTTATGTGCATTTGAAATCAATTCTGCAGAAATCAGTAGCAAGAATGGATGTACTAAATAGGAATTACAGGAAACTCCCTTATGCTGTTAAGTTTTCAAGTCCAAAGTATTTAGTTAAAAAAGTATAAGCTTTTCTGTAAGGTGAAATATCTGATGGTGTATACAGAATTACCCAGAAATGTTCTAAAGTGGAAGAAATTAAAGAGCGTTCATAGAAGTTCTTACTACACAGGCTGGTAGAAGGGGATTAGATTAAGAACTTGATGACAGCAGAGGTGCAAATAGATGGCAGAGGAATGGACCAGTAGAGGTGTGTGCCTCTAGGATTCAGTGAAACACGCTATGCTTTTTTTGGTTGGTTTGGGTTTTTTTAGTTTGTTTGTTTCTGTTTTAGCTGTTGCTTTAAGTATACAGGATATGCTCGGACATGACTTTCTTTTGCGTAGGATTTCTGTGAGAGTGAAGTGTTTGACTAAAGTCTCTTGCATTATTTATTACAGGATGCCATGGCTTTTAACAAGTTCAATGTTCTCCACTGGCATATAGTAGATGATCAGTCATTCCCTTACCAGAGCATTTATTTCCCTGAATTAAGTGATAAGGTGAGTGAACATCATTGGAGCAGGGTGGGAGGGCTGAAATCCGGTACATATTTCATGAAAATAAAATGCAGGGTTTACCAGTGGTTGAGTACTTCTTCTTTGGCTGATTGTGAGACAGTACCACACGACCAGTAACCAGCAAGTCCACATTTAGGATTCTACCTGAGTGTCTGTGTGGACTATTTTCAAGTCTTCCTCTGTGGATATATGGGATATGGCCTTCCTAACTCTTCTGTGGAAATTTTCTTAATGATCCTCAGTGTTTGCACGACTTCGGACAGTAGTGGTATGCAAATAAGTAGTGAACACTGCTTGAATTTCCGGTGATGGGTTTTTTTAACTGTTAGGCTTCCTGCCACTCAGATGTAAGAGAGTTTCTTGCCAGATTTAGGTTTGGAACCACTGCAATAGTACTTTTGCCCTGTCTGAGATCCAGTTAACTTTACAAAACGTAATGTACCTATAAAAGGTACAGAAGTGAGAAGTTGTTTTCTAAAAGAAATACAGTGCAACATGTCTCTTTATTTCGAGATTCACAGGTTTTGTTTAATTAGTTGAAAGTCATGAGGTTCTTGGTCAGTAAAGGTATGGTAGAAGCCAAATCAAACATAAATAGTAAAGTACACTAAGCCTAAGTACAAGATTAGGGATTCTGTTTTAAAACGCTTGCTAGACTCTGACTCTCATGAAAATTATGTAGGCGGTGCTTGAGCAGATGGCATGAAGAATTTTGTAATTCAAAAATGGTAGATGTTGCACAGTGCAGTCAGACTATTTTTCCTAGTAATGGCCTTGGAGTTCTGTCCCCACTGATAGCTGGAGAAAGGAAGATGGCCTTTTTCTCAATAGTCTTCTCTTTGAAAGTCTTTTTTGCTATTACCTTTTTTGAGTAACTCAGCTGTGGAAACCATTTCCAGATAAATAGAAGCTTAAGGTGCTACTAGTCACAAAGAGTCATGAGGTATTCTTACACAGTTTGGATCTTTAGCAAACATCTGTTTCACCAAACTGTAGCCATCTGAGTCATCTGTCACATTTTTTGGGTGTGAAGGAGTAGAATAACACTCAAATTCAGTGTCATAAAACAAACACTCCCTGATACTAAATTGGTTGCTGTATCAAAACTGAGAAGCAGAGGTGTTAGAAAGAAGACGCCATTCCTTCTGACTTGGTAGAATTTTTCCATTAGTCTTGCATGTTATGTAGCAAGGGCCCTGTTCTTCAGACCTAACAGGAAAAAATAACTTGCCTCTGTACAGAAGAATTGAAAACTCTATCTTTCAGAAATCTGATGGAATAGAAACTACCTTTTCTCTTTTCTTTAGTAACTGTGAGCTAAGGAGGAAAGAGTGGTCTCCTCAAGGAGGTCTTTCTCAGTGTTGTGAACTTGTTGGTTTGGTTTTTTGATTGTTTTTCATTCCTTTCCACTAGTGAGCCAAAAAGTTCCATCAGTGCAGTTGCACATGTGATAAACCAGAAAAGGCTAACTTATAATTTAGACTGTAGAGCAGTTATATAACACTTTAGTCCAAATTTTGTGAGCTGCTGGCATTGGGTTCTGTAAACTGTCTCTAAATGTGAGTATTTTACAGGGAGCGTACTCCTGTAATCTCATCTATACTCCTGCTGATGTCCGTCTGGTGATTGAGTATGCCCGGTTAAGAGGCATTAGAGTTATCCCAGAGTTTGATACCCCAGGACACACGCAGTCTTGGGGAAAAGGTATGTCAAAGGAAGTATTAATTGTTAAGAGACCGAGGTGATTAGTAGCAAGCCAATGGATTTTTTAAAACATAGTCAATAAAGTGCTTTGGAAAGCCCTTGATAAGAGGTAAGATAGACGCAGACTCTGTGATGTCATGACTTTTACCTGTTGTAGGAAGTAAAGTGAATGAAGAAAGCTGGCATGTCTTGTGCTGGATGAGTGTGCAAAGGTACAAATCTGTTCTGCCTTAGACTTCATGTTGTTGATATCCCCTCACTCAGTACTAAAGTTTAGAATAATACGGCAGTAGCTAGAAATAGAGTTGCTGTCTAGTCTAGAGTAGAAATTTCTGCGTTGGGAAGGTTCTTTTAAAGTGATTGATGTTTGTCTCTTAGTAAAGTGGTAATCTGCCAGGGTAAAAACCACAGCAAATCTGGATACTTCTTCACTCTCTTACCTTCTTGGTCTCAAAGTAATACTTCTCTTGATACAGAATGCTGGTGTTCACATGTACTCAAGGACCAGGAAACCTTGTGCCTTAATTCAGTGTGCACTGAATGCAATGTCACTGCAATTAACTTAAGATGATTTTGGCCAAAAGTAAAGATTTTTTAGTGCCTCATAACTTCAGCTTTAGCCCTGGAGCAGGTCTTGTATTCATCCTGTAGGGCTGTGGCCATAATGTTGAAAGATGTCTTAGGCTCTTTCTCAGTAACTTAAAATGAGAAGGAAAGGAACAAGGCAAACCCCAAATTTGCTAAACACACTCCTTCTGAATCCTTTATCTCAAGTGGTCTTTGCTCTTACAGCAAATTATTAAATCAGTGGCTTGCCTAGTGATATGTGGGGTGTTCCACATTGGCTTGAAGAGCAAGTTGATCTCCCTTGCCTAAAATTAGTTGTTCTTTGTATCTGCCTGTATAGCTATTTTATGCAATGCACAGGAGCTAGTCCTGGCTTTGCTTATGAACTTGGGTAGCTATGCTTTGTTTGCATTCAAATTCTGGATATTGGAGAGAAATCTTAATGCTTATGAGTAGGGTAGTAGAAGCAATTTACCACTAGGGCCTCATCTGGGGAATATGTGCTCAGAATAGGAAATGCACAGGCAGGAGGGTGCTGCTGCTGCTGCAACTACTATGTACTAAATAAGATGGATTTAGGAATCTCCAACCCATGTAAAATAACTCTTTCATATTTAGTTATCGTGGCTCATGTTGCTTCAGATCTCTTGACTTGAGAACCAATGTGTAGTTTTGATCTCTATTTAGCCTGCCTTTCTTGTGTAAAGGTAAATTCCTAAGAAAGCAAGGTAGGACATCTATCTTGAGCTATATACTTAACACTTACTTAGATGTTAGCAAAGCAGTGTAATAAAAAAAAAAAGACCTCTGAAGCATAGTCATTATGCTTCGCTTTCTTCTAATTGGCTTTCTTCCTAAATCCATTAGGTTTTTTTTATTCAAGTAGTCATCCAAATGCTGTTTTTCAGATACAGTGACATGTTACATAAATTAGTGTCTGTTAAATCACAAATCTGAAAGTCAGAGTCCTGATTGCCAGTTAGAGGGTTCTTCAACCCTGTCCAAGTTTTATTTCATTCTGCCTCTGTTTGATTATACTTGGAATAGGTTAGCACTTAAGTCACGAATATTAACCTTTTTAATATGGGTAGCTGCTTCTTCCTGTTAGTAAAGCAACATGGAACTGAACATGCTCTATTAATTGTTTTTGCTAGGTCAAAAAGATCTTCTCACTCCTTGTTACAATGGAGGGCAGCCAACTGGGTCCTTTGGACCTATAAATCCCATTTTGAATACAACTTATGACTTCATGACTAAATTCTTCAAAGAGATCAGCAGTGTATTTCCAGATGCATATATTCATTTAGGAGGAGATGAAGTGGACTTCAGTTGCTGGTATGGTGACAATTCAAAGAACAAATATCTAGTGCCTCTTAAACCTATCCACATCCATTAATTATGGAACTCAGTGGCATCAGACAGTTTTCACTGCATAACCAAAAGATCTTCACTCCTATTTCTATAATTATTTACAAGCAGAGCATTTGTGATTCCCAACAAGCAAGTGATGTTGTGCAGAATTTTGCTTTGACTAGTAGTTTCACAAATGCTGAAGTACTCTAAAGGATTTCTTTATGAAAATTACCCTGGCAGGAAAGAGAACTAATATGGTAGAAAAGTATTAGATAAGATAATTAGCATTTAAATACTGTATGTTAAAGTAGATCTTTCCATTGAGTTCTACCCTCCAGAAAATATGCTAACACTAAGTACTACCAAACAGATTCTTTTGTGTTTGTATTAAGTGTGTCATGTAGTAATAGAGTTCTTAATTTGGTTGTGGATTTTGAATATTTTGGAATCTCTTTGCTCTGTACTAATAGTACAGAATTTGGAACATTTTGATGATTCTCTTTAAACATCAAATCCAAACACTCAGAACTTGTTTTAATTTTTATAGAGAAAGAAAACTTCTGACAAATGCTTTATCGCAGAACTGCTGGTTTGCTTTTGTGGTAAAAGCACAAAATTGATGAGTTCCCAGACCTGCTGACAACCTTCCCAGCAAGTCACAGAGATGCCGGGAATCCCAGGGCTCTTGAGAGTTTGAGGCAGTCTGCCAGAGACCACTTCAGAACAGAGACTCCACTAGTTTTACCAGAGAATTAGGACTATTGGCTTTATTTCAAGTCAGGATGAAACTGTTTCAAAATATGAAAGTCAGGTTAGCCTGCTGCTTCTGCTCAGTTTTTCATTCCATGCTATGCCATGCCAAAGGCACCATCTAGTGCTGTGTGTTGGTGGAAATGTTTGGGAAATCTGGTTTAAAACATAACAAAAACAGTCTTTAACTTGTTTTCTTGTTATTGTTTAAGGAAATCTAACCCTGAAGTGAAAGAGTTCATGAAGAAGCAGGGTTTTGGCAGTGACTATGCTAAATTGGAATCTTACTACATTCAGAAGTATGTTAGTTTTTTTTATTCTTGCTTGGTTTTTCACAATCACTATCTGAGGGTGGCATTGAGGTGCAGATACTAAATCTGATGTAATATCTATATTGTTTTCAAAAATTGGCACATTGGGGACTACCCACTTTTTTTTAATACGTCAGATGTAAGGTTCATAGCTTTAAAATATGGGATACAGCAAAGATATCTAGGCTAGTTGTACACACAGTATGAATGTATTGGATATCTTAAACTAGGTATCTGCAGTAATGGCAGCGCACAGGGTGTGGAGGAAAAGGTTTTGCAGCCATTTATTTGTCTCCTTCTTTAATAACATGGATTTAGTCACCCTGTATGAGTTGCTGGTAGTTCTAAACATCAGTTTGTGTTACTGCACATGCACTCTGTTATATGCATGGACTTCAGGAGCACTGAAGATCAAAACCAGAACCACCTGCTTTGTTATGGTCCCCTATGCAGTGATGGGAAAGGTCAGATGTGCCTTAGGGTAGAAAATGTTGCTACTTCAAGTGCTTGTATTTATTGAAGTTCACAAACCCGATCTGGTTTCTAAATTCCAGGATTTTGGACATTGTTTCCTCCTATAACAAAGGACAAATCATCTGGCAAGAAGTGTTTGATCACAAAGCACAGGTAAGATGGGAAAATGGGTAAGATACTTTTGTATAACAGCACAGTATTGTGGGAGGCTACTACTAAGTAGGTCTGTTTATGTCTCTTAAAACTTAAAGCAAGTCTTCTGACATTAGCAAGTCTCCCCAGGTGTGGGGCCTCCTTTGAAATGATCATTTGTTGACCATGTAAAATAGGTGGAATGCGAACATCAGCATTGAAGTGCTTTCTGAAGGTGAACACAGTTAATATAATATGTTTTAAAGCATCAGAGTAAAGGGTAGGGAAGTTTCTAGGAGTAGGGTTTTTTTCCCCTTACACAACTGTGTGTCTGATCTAGTAACACCAGGTGCTTGGCTTTTAAGAGCTGGTAGATACATGGTGCATGTAGGAATCCTCTTAGAGCATTAACTGTCTATAGTATAACCTAGGTTTCACTCACAGGAGCTATGTTTAACATCAACAAATAGCTAATTAGCTTTAGACTTTGGGGGACCACAGGTAGCTTCCAAAATGTTCCTCTTCAAAACAAAATAGCCAGTTTTGAAATTCATGATCCTTTATTCCTGGTAACAGCAATTAGGATTGTCATTAATGGCTTTTTTTTGGGGGGGGGGGGACTGGGGTTGTTTGTTTTGTCTTATCCCCTTTTAGCTGAAACCAGACACTGTAGTTCAAGTGTGGATGGCAAACAACTATGCTCATGAACTGAGCAGTGTTACTGGAGCTGGGTTCCCTGCTGTCCTGGCTGCACCCTGGTACTTAGACTACATCAGTTATGGGCAAGACTGGAAGAAATACTACAGTGTTGAACCACTTAACTTCCCTGGTTTGTTACCTTTTTTATATGCATGTTCTGTGCACGAAATTTTTTGGTTTATAGTAAGGTGTAAATGGAAAGAATAAGGCTGTTTAGAGTGGTCATTCTGTCACTGTGATTATAGTGCAATCAAAGGAATTTAATGTCCACTAGAACTCTAGAAAATTCTTAAATTTTTTTAAAAAAGGAACTTTGCACTTCTCACTGGGAAAGGTGTTACCTTCCCTAAGATCTGATACTGGTGCTTGTGTGAGACAGGATGATGGACAAGGTGGGCAGATGCATCACACTTTAGGTGTGGAGTTGTGCAAAATGGCTGCTGGTAGACATATGTTAGCAAGCTTCTAAAGTGTGAAACTTTTATAGAAGACATGTTCTCTCCTTCTGTCTAAAGCTGATACAAACATGCTTTCCATGGGAGTTTCATTTTGTGCAAGGTAGATCTCAGAGCTGATTAGGGAGAACACCTGACTAAGTGGTTTTTTCAAGGAATGTTTCTACATGTGATAGAATGAACCGTTTCCATTAGGACTGATATCTCTGAGGAATGCCTTCAGGGTATAAAAGGTAAAATACCTTCTGAAAGAGAGGAGAAATGGCTTCTCTGGGCAAATGGCCTAGTGGTTCTCACATCCAGTAACAAGACTACCAAAATGTTAAGTTAGCGCTCAGGATAGTTTTATATGATCAAACAAACATCTGAACATCAGTCCTCTCTAAGTATTAGAAAATAAAATTGTTGATATATTCCCATCTTCTGAAAAAATAAAAATTCTAACTTTCTGCTTTGAATTCAGGATCTGAAGAACAGAAGAAACTTTTAATAGGTGGAGAAGCCTGCCTATGGGGGGAATTTGTGGATGCAACTAACCTGACACCAAGATTATGGTATGAAGTGCTTTATCATTAGATTTTCAAAAGTCAGCTACAAGGATCTTAATTAATTCAGCAGGACTGTATGATAGTGATAACAGTTCTCTGTGCTGAACCTGAGCAGCTATAAAAAAATTTTATCCATTCTTGGTTATAGACCACACCTACTCTAAAACTTAGTGTACCTTTACAGGCCTCGAGCAAGTGCTGTAGGGGAAAGACTCTGGAGCAGCAGGAATGTGACCAACTTGCAGGATGCCTATAGGAGGCTGACAAATCATCGCTGCCGCATGCTCCGGTAAGATTTAGTGGCTACAGTGTATCTTGGCACTCATTCTTAAAACCAATGGAATAGAAGTACAGGCCTAAACTGCTGGCCTGGAAATGAAGGGAAGAGAGATAGTGTGGTTTGTATCCACAGAAGAGGAAGAAAGATGTATTAAGACAAGAGTTCTAGATAGTTTCACAACCAACATTTTCAGAACTCACTTTTTCAGTGAAATCTATGTTTCTCTTTCCTCTAAACGAAAATTTAACACCATGATTGACTTATTTCAGTCAAAAAGGATATTAAAGGGTATGTGGGAGTACACTGACAAAAAAAAAACTTTTTTTTAAAAAACAGTGGTGTTATTTATCACAAATAATAATTAAAGACCTGCCACAGATAATCAAGTGGACCTGTTTGCCTTAGAGGTGATCAAGCTATTCTTTCAGGTGTTGCCTTAGTTCAGGGTCTGAAAGGGGTGGTTAAGGAGTCTCTGATAAATTTTAATCCCTTTATGAACTGACTCTGTTTACAGTAGTCATAACACATTCTTCCCTGCAGTTCTTTCCTAAAAAGTACCTAGACAAGTTCCTGGTTAATTATTGCTAGTGCTGCCTTTGTGTATTCACAGCTGTACATATGAGCGATGCCTAGGTTTTAAGTCCAAGGTTGACTCCACTTTTAAAATATACAGTCAGAGAGCTTTTTAGGTTTTCCCAAATGCTGCTGCATAGTTGGACTGCAGCAAGAATGAAATGTGCTGTTTTATTTCTCTGCAGAAGTTTATGACAATTACTGAAAATCTCAACGCTGTGTGGAAGTATTTCAAGGTAGACAGAAGTCAGCTTTTTAGAGAACAGTTATAGTCAGCAGTTAAAACTGAAGCACTCTGCCTGTATTCCTGTAGGTGTCTTAGAATGATTTTCTGTTGGAATCACTGGCGTTTAGCTTATAGTACACACTACACTAGCTCCTTAATTAATCAAGAGTGACTAAAGGACTTTCAAGTTTTGACTTGCTGGCTTTATTTCAAGCTGGCTTAAAATAATGCTTAGGAAAATACTTATATATAAATTGTGCTATCTTCCTCAGTCATGAGAAAAACAAATACATTGAGGGAGTTAACAAATCCATGTTAAAAACAAGATTAAAGGGCTTAAAAAACTTATGCCCTGTTACTTAACAGGATGGTGCATCTCTTGATGGCACTCAGGGAAAACACAAGTACAGCTGAACAGTACAGTGGCTGTACCACTAGGATTAGGGTTTTATAGTGAAGTAAGCCCTGTTATTCCTGGACCTGGTTAACTCTAATGCTGCATCTCCATCTTCTTAACACTGGTACTTGTACTGCTGTACAGGGAGCTGGCCAGCTGATGACAGCTGCTCTCGTGGTGCTGGCATGAGAGATGCAGGGGCAGACTAAGCACTGCTCCCTGTAGCGCCAGAAACTAGTTTAAGGAAAAACCGCTTTGCTGCCTTAGGGCGAACTATTCCTGTTAGAAAATGACTACTTCAATAAAAGGACACGTTCTGCTGAAATGATTCTTTTGATACAGGTTTTGAACAAGAAATACACTAGAGAAACCGTCTCCTTTCAGTGATGAAATGAGCATTCCTTGGAGCTGTAGTTCTGTTGCCTTTCATGTAAATAGAGCTTCCTTAGAATTGTGTGAACTCAAAGAGCTGATTTAATATCAGGCTACTGTAGTCTTAGTGTGTGGGAAAAGGATTGTGTTCCTACTTATGTTTTTATATATGGTGTATACACAGACCATGGCAGTTGTAGGAGGCCAAAGAGCCTTTCCAAGCAGAATGAACAGCTCTGGCTTGCTCTGCAGCTGATTATGAGGGAGCAAGGGAATGGGTGGGTAGCACTTGTAACAGCTAGGTTGTGGTCTCTGGAAGAACAATAACTAGCCTATTGAAGGTTGAGGCCACTGCTCTTGAAATAGTAAAATGAAAGCAGTAGCTACTGTTCAGATCTAAATTCAACTTCCCCTAGGACACAGCAGCCTAAACTGAAATAATGATGGGAGAAAGGAAACAAAAAGGTGGGCATATATTCCAGAGACCTAGACACCAGCCCTGGTAGAGCAGATCTTACTTAGGGGCAGCAATAGTTTGGCTGAGCCAATTCATTATTCAGTTTCTTCCACTGCAGCACTTTTAAACACTAGTAGCAGTAGTATCTAGTCCTTAAATATTCAAGAAGCAGAATTTTGACTACAACTTCTTTAACTCTGAAAATTCTTTTTATACTATCTTACTGTACCATCATAAACTACAAGGGCTTGGTTAGTTTGTTTTTAAAGCCACATGAGAACACACTAATTTATGATAGTGTAAGCTGGAAGAAATTCTGGCACCCCCCAAATACAAATGAAAATTACATAATTAGAGCTGCATATGGAGGAAACATTAGGGTCAGGAACGGGGAGAGTATGCAAATGTCAGCTGATTTATATGTGCATGTTCTTACGACTTCTTTTCAATAAAAGCTGTAAATTTTGCAGAACATCAAGAAAACTGGGTCCTGAATTTAAACTTTCTCAACATGTTTGCCAATATCTCAGTACCTTTGATTGAAACAGAGAACTGAAGTACAATTAGGAGTAGAATAGGGCCCCTTTTCACTCCCTGCAGAGGCCATCTGTTATTTCTTGGACATAGTTTTTTTTATAGAATGGAGAGCCAGTATCTCTCTTCCTGCCTATACAAAAAGCCAGTTGTTTGATTACAGTCATGTACATTCCACTTTATTTTAACAGCCGTGGCATAGCAGCCGAACCGGTGTTTGTTGGATACTGCGCCCATGAAGCGAGAGGGCCATAACTGCTGCAAAGACTTCTCCTCAACAACCTGAAGTGCCTCTGGGGATGAATCAAGACTTAAAATTTCACTTTTAAAATAAAATTCTTTGATAACCTTGTTGGAGTAAAAATGGTTGGTTTTAGGCTTTTAGAAATTGGGATTCTTCACTGAGAAATCCTGAAACTTGATATGATGGAGTTATTAATCCCAGTTTCTTTACATTCCAAAGTTGAGAAAAATAAAGCTAAGACACCATTTAAATAAAGAACAAACTATCTTTTTTATTTCAAGGTATCTTATCATTTGCCAGTTTTTTTTGCAACTCATAGCAAATCAGGACTATTACAGCTTAATTCACTCATTCCTAAAGGTAAAAAAAAAAAAAAAATCCTCCCTCAACAGATTCCAGGGTGGTAAGCAGGGATTACTGTCATGGAAGAACTCTTTCTTGTATTTTTTTTGCACAGATCTCACTCAATTTTCAGAAGTATCCATTTCACTTACTTGCTAAAGCAAACTCAGGTAGAAGTTAGACCCAGTCCTGAACTCTGGTCCATAATTAGTTACTATCAGTACAAGAAGTAATACTTAAGTTGTACTGTTTAAAGTGCTTATATACATATACTTTCATTCAGGTGAAAACAAATCATGATACAGACTGCCAAAACTGTAAAGTTATTTCACTGATAGACATAAACTTCACAAACTTTATTTACTAAATTAAGAAAGTTCTCGTGGCACACTAAGGACTAAGGTGCACTTAAGTGCTCACTTCCATGAAAAGCTTCTCATTACAGATCTTATCTGTAAGATAAAAGTTTGCAAAGCAACACCTGGTGGTTCCATCTCTGCAGTGCCATTAGAACAGGCTCTTGAACTTTCCCCCTTGGACAGTTAAGAGCCCAGTCTGTTTATGTGGCTGCTGACTCATCATTTACCACCATCAGTTAGTCCCAGGCAAATGTACTGGTGTACCTGTGAAAATATTTAACATGGAGGATAGAAAACGCCGTTCTACAGAGTAAAGTGATCACACCAACCCCATCCTCCTCTGAAGAAGTGCACTTTGCTCTTGACTGTTCAGGGCTTGATAACTGGCAAGCTCCAATGTGAAGGTTGCTGAGCCTGATGTTAAAGAACGCAGAACTGTTGAGTACCCCTGGACAAAATGGAGAAGATGTGTCACTCAGTTTAGGATAAAGGGAAGATAAGTTAGCATAGAAAACTGCTTAGACCACAGAGAGAGAGAGAGTGTGTCAGAAATATACTGCAACATACTGCTAAGTTAATTTTTTAATATTAATCTATTAAAAGTGCAATGCAGGCATGAGTCAATATTTTTAAAAAACTATTCCCTGTAAAACCTGTTCTAGTAGTACTTACTCCTTCTTTGACTTACACTTGAGTATGTGCTGGTTTAACAATCTGAACTGGGCAAAAGAACACTACTAGATCTGTGGGTGCTTCCTTCAGACCTTCAGTAATTAAAATACAGTAAAAAAACCCATCCATTTTATTCTTACTTACCCATAACAAAAAGTGAACTGAAGCCACTTTTTAAGCATATAAAAAACCTAGTTTTACCATTAGTAATCACGTACCATCATTTCTGCAAGTGGAACAGCAGCAACCACAACTCTGTTATCTTGACGACTCTGGATTTCCTGAATACTACCTCTCCGCTGTGCAAGATCAGCGAGTGCTGCACTGAGATGATCTTCACTTACTGTGATTTCTAGGTTCATCAGGGGCTCTAGTATTTGTATACCAGCTTTCTTCAAAGCCTACATAGAAAGGAAGGGAAATTATGTCAGTGTATTTTTGGGGGTTTTGGTTTTTTGTTTAAAATAAAGTTGACATTATAGGTACTTCTATTGTGAAGCTATCGCTTCTTTTCGAATTCTCATGAATTCTTTACTTTCAAAATCTGTAAAGTTCTCATCAAGGGCATTACACTGTCAGAGAAGATCAGGTAGCAGATACTGATACACACAGATTTTCCCAGCAGTATATAATGCTGCTGTATTCTACAGCACCTTACTGTTTCACTGTACCTTTTGCATGCAACGGGAGACACAGGCTGATACCATTGTGTGGGAGGTGTCTGGGTGCACTGTCAGTGATTGCACTGTCACATCTACATCCTGAACTGGGAATCCAAGCAGAGGTCCTGGGTGGGCCAGTGTAGAACAGAAGAAAGAAGAAAGCAGATTTGTTTTTCAGAATATTAAGAGATATGCAAAAAAATTTACAAGATTAAAGCTTCTCACTTTGCTCTCTCCTTCCCTGTCCACTCCTGAAAGGATGTGACTAGTGGTTGTGTTCCTCATTCTGTGATTTTGTCATTACCAAGCTTTGCCAGAAGTGACAAAGGAATACTTTCTTACTCTCTTTATCATAGATAGTTCTGAGAACAGTTCCTGAGTGTGCTCATCCATACAACTGTTCCCAAAAATGAAGCTTTTAAAAAATACACTATAGTATCTAAAACTTATTTATTGAAACAAGACCTCATTTGAAAAAGTAGTGAAACCTTTCGTTAAACCAGAAGACAGAGTATTTTCTATATGTTCCTTTTAAATACAATATGATCACAGCAAAGCCTGATACTAACCCACCACCACAACTCCAGGGTTAACTCAATTCCATAAAGAATGAATGGCATCTAGCATCTCAGACAGCTTATCTCCCTCCAGCCCAGGGACTCTCAAACAGACCAAACTGTATTACACTGGATGTGAGGTCTGAACTACATCTGAGGTAAAACACATTGCTTTTTTCTTACCCAGTCTTTTTGGGTTTTTTAAGCACTTAATGGCATCAATTTTAGGCTGAAGACAGCACAATTCTGAAGTGTCTTCAAGGAGCATGAAGAAAGCACACAGTTAAGAGTCATTCCAAAGCCAGAGATGGGAGATGCTTTCCAATTCCACATAGCAACATGGAAAAAACACTTCATATAGAGTAATTCTCACCTGTCAATCCACTACCTGTTAATTTTACTGTAAGACAGAGCTCTTTGGCCACTTGTTATTTAATACTTCCTATTTTTAGTCAAAAGTCAAGGACACTTTCAGTCCTTTAGAAAGCCCTCCTTTTGAAATTAGGTAAGGCTTTACTGAAAACTCATGGATTTTATGTATTTGCAAAAAATGCATCAGTTACATTAATAATGTGGTGTGTACATGTTGGCCTCTGAAACCACTTCTGTCATCAAGTAAACACCTTATCTTTTAATATCAGATTAAAAAATGAACCAGAAGAACTCCAAGCTCACTTTAGAGTGACTGAGATGAAATCAACCAAAAAACCAAACCAAGGGGATGCTGACTTCCACTCCTGGAATAGGGAAGAGTGTTCGGCGATTTTTGTAGTTAATGAAATGTCATAATTTTCCTTTGCATCTTACATACATGTTAGTACATAACTACTTTTAAGTTTTCAAGCTGTTGAGTGTTTCCTTCTAGAAACAAGTTGCTTCTTATAAAAATATTAGACAAGTATAGCTGTCATAGCACTTCCTTTACCTTGAATGCATGAATTCATGATTCCATTTTCTATAGCTCCTTGGAGTTCTTTGGGTAGTACTCCAATAACACTCTCAGCATAGTCGACGATGGGTTTTGTCACTGCTCTGTCCCCTGACCTGGGTCTCACCTCTAACTCTGCAGTTACAAAATGTCGTTTATCTCCTACTGTTTTGTCCAGTATATCTGCAAGGAGGAGGGAAAAAAAGGTGAAACAGTCATTTGAAAAAAAACCACCCTAATACGTAAAATTAATCTGAAAGTTAATCATATATCATTTAAAGTACATCAAGTTACAAATCCAAAAACAAGATGTTGCTTCCATTTACTCACTTTACCTGTAACTTGGGCAGCACTTAAGATGGTTTCTCGGTATGCTATTTGAAGAGGTCCCAAGTAAGTCTCAATTCCATATTCACGTTTGATTCGGTCGTGAATGATCTCTATGTGTAGTTCTCCCATGCCACAGAGGATAGTCTGGTGAGAAAACAGTTGAGAGAAAAGTGGAAAAATGTGAAAACCCCAGGTTTTATTACAAATGCTTTAACCAAAAACTTGCATGCTTTGAACAGTCAAAAATTGTAAATACTTCAAATTCTAAGGACCCTAGAGAGAAAACACTGCTATAAGTCATCTGACCACTACTGTAACCACTATAAAAATAGTAATCTTAAAAACTGTAATTCAGACTTTTTGAAATACAGAACTGTAGAAAACATGCAGAGCACAGGGTGACTTCCTTTATTCTGTAAAGCACAACTGCACAAGGTTCCATTTTAGTTTCACACACAAAACTTCGTAGACAACATTTAGAGAGTCCTTTTTATTCAAGAAAATCTCAATATGCAGATGAACTAACTTGACATCTTTAAAATAAAACTTGCTTATAAGGGGAGTAGTAGAAGATTCATCTTACTTGTCCTGTGTCAGGATCTATCTTCACTTTTAAACTTGGATCTTCACGCTGAAGGCAGCTCAATGCATTATCCAAGTCTGTACGTAAATATCAAAAATTATATCTAAAGTGACTTCAGTAGTTTCAGAATTACATGAAGTGCCTAGGTATCACTTTCCTCATAAGGTCAAATCTTATTCTCAGAGCCAGCAAAAGGACCCTAGAGAAGCACAGATTTTGGCAAAACAAAGTCAAGTCAGATTACAAGTAATCTGCAACTTCTGATTTTCTCACACAAAGTAACTGCACTACAGAGTGCTTTAATTTAATTATTTGACGTACTATTTTCAGAGTGAAATTTTGTGTTTGTATGGAGACAGGCTGGAACCTATAAATGATTCGTAAAGCCAATAAAAAGTACTGATCCTTTTGCACAGATAAATTTTCAACTGTTACATGATTTACTTAAATGTGAGTTCAATATGAAACGTTCAAATGCAAACACAGATACCGTTTTCTTCCTGATTCCCCATTATCTTAACTGCTGAGGAAAGCAGCTACAGAATGATAAACTAAGAGCTGAGACTGCATTTATCTGCCTTAAAAGTCTTTGGGGAAAAAACAAACAAAAGTAAACTAAAACATCCAACCCCCCAAAATCAGTAATATTTTACAATCCAGTTGCTCAGCCTACAGACATGTTGCTCCCAATCTCTGTTCTACCTTGCTTCATTCCACTACACTGGTCTTTATCCCTCCTCCTCTTCACTCCCAACCATGCTCAGAGTTGAAAGGTTTTTTCCAAAAAGTGTCAAATAATCAAGTTCTCTGGTACACACTGCTGGGAAGA